GCCATGGAAGAAGGAAGAAACCTGGAAAACTACACTGTTCAAGGTCTCCTTGATGAACTCAGAACCTATGAGCACGAGCTGAAAAAGAAGAAGGAAGAACAAGTCACTCCCTTCCCCACGGCATTGATGACAACTTCAAGAATTCCATCAAGTGAAGGGACATGCACAAGAAACTGTGACACACCTTCCTCCAGCCAGCTGTCAAGCTCAAAAATGGAGAACTACGAAGAGGAATTTGCCATGATGGTCAAACAATTCCGGAAGTTCAAGAAGTTCTTCAAGAAGGCTGATTCAATCAGAAGGCCATCCAAGGGAAAGCCACAGGTAAGTGACTCCCCTCCTGAATCTTATTTATGCTATAACTGCAGGATGCCTGGCCACTGGAAGTCAGCATGCCCGTACCCAAAAGTGGAGAAGTACGGAGAAAGAGAAAGGATCGAGAAGAAAAAGAAAGCAATGGTTGCTGCTGAAAGTGACGAGTCATCCAGCTCAAGCTCGGATGAAGAAGCCCTCGTTTGCATGGAGCGCAGAGTTGAGAAGTCCAACCATGAGGATAGGTGGACTATGTCAGAAGATGACACTCTCTGCCTAATGGCCAAAGATGATGCTGATCAAGAGGTAACCTCACAAATCTCCTGCTCATCTTCTTATAGCACACCAACTTCTGAAAATCTTTTTGACCAGTTCAAAAAGATGATGAAAGACTTTGAGGAGATAAATCTCAAACACACATCCTTAACAGAAGAGAACAAACTATTGAGTGAAGAGAATCTCAAGTTGACTGAAAGTCGGAAACGTCAACTGAATGAGATCACTCAACTCAAGACTGAAAATGAATCTCTCTCTGAAAAGGTGAAATCCCTTAACAAAGAGCTAGGGATACTCAAGTCCCAAGAAGCAGTGAACAAGAGATTCCATCTATTATGATTCAGCAAATGAGGCCATCTTCCTAGGATATTCCATGGTAAGCAAGGCATTCAGAGTCTTCAACAAAAGAACCATGATCACTGAAGAGTCAATACATGTCATTTTTGATGAAAAACATGTGGTTGACAAGCCATCAAAGCATGATCATGAGGTACTGGATCTATCAGACAAGGATGAAGAAGTCAATGAAGGAGATAGAATGAAGCCCACGGAGTTCATTCCATTC